GCTGCGGAAGGAGAGAAGGAGATGAAGGCCAACGAGCTCGAAAGCCGGCTCGAGGCGGTCAAGGAAATGGAGAATAAGTTCAAGAAAGAAAATAAGACGGGTAAAGTCGAAGTTGAGGGCAAGGGCCCCAGCGTTGAAAAGCTCGAAGCGGCCATCACGAAGCTGGAACAGCGCATTGAGACAATGGAGCTCCAAGCTCAGGACAAGGAAGAAAACAAGGAAGTCGCTTTGGGAACTTCGAAGATCGTGAGTCGCTCATCCTCTACCCCATGATCATGAGATGCGCGGGGGACTCGACTGACATTTGCTAGAATTACATTGATCCTCGTCTTACGGTCGTCTTCAGCAAGAAGTTCAATGTACCCATCGAGAAGTTCTTCTCCAAGTCCTTGCGGGAGAAGTTCGAATGGGCCATCAAATCAGTTGACGAAAACTGGGACTTCTAGATGACATCGTTTAGGGCCGCTCCAGTTGATCCTCACCATGTATTACTTCATGAATTTCTTTATAACGTCTCAGCATTCTTTATAGCGACCAGGCGGAGTGCTCCGTAGCATACGTTCCATTTTGAAGCCTTTTCTTGCCACAACGCTTGCTTGGGAAGCCTTTGTCTATCGACCTGCTCACTCAAGAAATGTGCTCCGGGCAGTAGATGAATTTAGCTTGGGTTCATTCAGCACTTTCTTGATTAGAATCTCTGCTTTTGTTCTTTTGATTGTGTCCTTCTGTCAGAGGGTGGTAACCTGTTTTCTCCGCTGGGTGAGTTTTGTCCCAGCTATCTGACTGGTATCATTCAAGAGATATAGATAGAATTATACAGCCGTCGACAATCTTGCAGATCTACAATATAGATGCTTGTCAAAATCACTCATCTGTCTCGCAAAAAGAGAATATGCCGTTTTCCAAAGAGACAACCCCATGTCACAGCAGTCCTGCAAGACTGCACCATGCAAGAAACGCAAATGGAACGAAATAACATTATTATACATTTTCATTTAGTTATGCGGTCCAAGTCAAATGTAGGCATCAATGGCAAAGAAACATGTTGGCCATGTTCGACAACAATGAGTAGCAGAATTGTACAGTAAAGAAGCAGACGGGAGATTTCAGCGAAGTCAAAGTGCATATGCTATGTTATGTACATCCAAGTCTACATGTTCATGAGGGTCATGAGCAGAAGAAGAAGCAGCAGCACTCTCTGAAGCAAGAAGAATGATGAAGTATGCAGGTGGATACGAAGAGGATATCAGGAACATGCCGGTGCTGACGGTCGCGGAGCCGGAGGTTGAGGAGAAGAAGAGTAGAAGACGAAAGTTAAATTACAGAGAAGAAGATAGTCAGGACATGGAAACGCTCTTTGGTGGATGAATCTGACCAGGGATTGATTCTGGCGAGATGGCTGTGTGGCGCGTGACGCTCCTTTCCAGTGTAGAATTTCAAGGGTCACTGTATGGTGGTCTGGAGGAGACAAGGGTTGATGATAGGTGGGTGCCGTCCGCGCTTTGTCCGACGGAGACCGGCGATGCTTTTGTAGGTTGGGCGAATTGCCCGAAACAGGCTAAGGGCTCTATGGCCACCAGCCCATACGTTTGTAGCTATCGACCATGGCGCGGACTCCTTCTGCATCAAAGCGTTCGCGCGTAGGCCTCCATCCGGTGGTTGTCTCGAACAAGGTGCCATCAATCGACATATCCTGGTCCTTAATGACATCTCTCTCGAGGAACGGGCTAATCGGCCCGGGACGTGTGATGCCCTTTTTCTCCAGCAGCTCTGCCCAGCCCTGTAGACTCACCTCGTTCATGTCATCGACAACCTCGTCAAGGTTCAGCTTGGCCAGTTGAGATGCGAGCGATCCGAGGAACGAGCATTTGAGCCCAAAGACCGTGGACAAAGCCTCTGCGACATGCTCCTGGCGAGTGTCGCCGTGGTCGACGACGTTGAAAGCAATCGGGGCGGATTTGTCAACGGTGGCCGCCCTCCATTCGGCCGCTTTCCACAGAGCGCTGGCTGCGTCTCTTACATAGAGCGTGTTAATCTTCAGGTTCTTAGTGTAGAGGAGTTCAAGATCCGTTTCCATATCCAGGTGTACCCGCGCCAGGCAGATACCCATTGCGAAATAACCCGAGTCGTATTCACCGTAAACGTGTGGAAGTCGCAACAGACAGTAGTTGAGACCGGGAATCTTCTTCAGCTCATCGGAAGCCTTCAGCTTCCATTTGGCAAGTCGGTGCCAGGGCTCGAGTTTGTCGTTCTCTTTTCGAGGGGAAGAGCCAGGCTTGTATACATGAGCGGTTGAGCACTCGACGAAGGAACGGATGCCTCGACGAGCCACTTCGCGACCCAATGCCACCGTAAGATTGTGACTCCGTAGTTCGTAAACATCATCTGGCTGAGAGTGCCGTGTCTCACCACCGCAGTTGATCACATAGTCGAATTGTTCTCCGTTTGCACGGTCAAATATCCGCGGGAAGTGCTCTGTATATCCGTATCAGACGACCGTCAGCCGCACTTCAGAGCGAAATATGCGATGAAGTAGTTACTCACGTTCCCGACTAGCGTCTGCTTGAACGAACTTATCTTTAGAGCATGCCTCCTCGAACTCGGGTGCCAACCAGGCCAGCTGAGGGAGGACCTTGTCCACAAGTCGGACCTCCGAAGCGAGATTGTTTTCATGAATATACAGAGCTAGATGACGACCGATGAATCCTAAAGCGTTTTACGAGTCATATGTCAGCGATCCTTTCCATTTTCCCCCTTTTCTTGCATAAGAATCGAAATCGGATCGCACATACCTAATCCTCCGACGATAAGCACAGCAGGCTTTTTCCCTTGGTCGCTCGCCATGATGGTATGCGACGGTAGTTCAGAAACGCGCTTCGATAGTGCTTCTGCTCGCTTTCCTCTGACCTCGACTGTTTAGCCGATTGTAAACCAGAGTCGACTCAAGTGAAATGTTTTCAATCGAGCTGGTCGACGCCCCGCACCCAAGTTCGACAAACCAAAATAATGCGGGGGAAATATTCAGAAAAGGGGGAGGGGGAAAGAGGAGGAAAATGATTAGAGACGAGATTAGTATCAGCCCGCTAACGATGAATGTGTTGACAAGTCTAGATGGTTTTTCTCGGCTGGTCTTACAGTCCCAGGAACGAAAGCAGAAAAGAAATGGGAAAAGGAGATGCCAACGTGCACGACACGAGGGCGACTCAAGATGGTCACTTGGGGGCAATCATTTTGGGACTAAGGGACGCTTTGATGAGCCGGAGCGTATCAGCTTCAATGGGGTCAAACCTAACGACCCCCCAGCCTCTGAAACAGCCTCCTCTGATCTACTGTCTATGAGTAGTTGCATTACGCTTACAAATTTATTTCTTTTGCTAAGACGATGGTTGTTCATGAATAGACCGATACCTCATTCTTTGTTCCATGCGTTTTTGTTAATAAGGCGATCTGCCACGCCTATCAGTATGATGACGGCATCCCATGCTTCTGCCTCTCTTTGGAACTGGCTTGACTAAATCTGCCTACGGTATGACCCGAACCAAACCCAAGGATCCAGTGATCGCCTTAATTGCACATGGTAGAGTGGTAACAACCTCCAGTATCCCACCACTAGCTTCCTCGACGCTCTCGCTTACTGACTCTCCTTCGTTTTGTCCAGTTGCGGAACCATAGCAAATGCATGCCTACCGAATATGAGGGCCACCTTCGTTTGCGAGAGCGATTTCTCTCACGAACAAAGAACAAGATGATGATAGTCACGACGGTGTTGAACCAACGGAAAAAGGTGGAGGGCCTTTTCGCATTTTCCCAACCCGAGCAAACTCCGTTAGCGCTACGTCTAGAAATTTCGCCAGAATAGTGGGGATACCCGCTGTTCAGCATAACCAATATCTGCTTGGTCTCTGCAGGGAAGCCAGAAATTGATTGATCATCTCTTCCCCTGCCAAGCACGCGGTGTGGGACGCCCTCCGTTCTTCAGGGACACCGTCCGATCATAGTTCCGCCCCTAAGTGGGTTTGCGACCAGGAGGTACGAAGCCACATGCCCGAAAGAGCAACGATAGCGCAAGAGGCGCAAGAGGCGCAGGAAATTACCGGCGGATTTGGGATTGTTGGTCATGATCACGGTGAGAAACCGAGGGACAATTCTAGGAACGATCACATTGCGAGACATGAATCCCGGTTGGACAGTGCAAAGTTGAAGCCCGAGCTTGGGGTCAAGCTTTTCAAGACGAAGTTGATCGTTTCGGGATATGAAATAGATGATCGACGTTTGTTCATTTGTACTACTTGTCCATATTGAGCAGCTCAAGATGGAGCATGCGAAGTAATAGCAGTTATTCTGGGGCAATCTGAAGTAGTTCGCTGTAAAAATGCGGTAGACTTCGACGCGCCTTCATTCTTGAGCACTTGAGCACTCGATGGCGAAGGGACTTCAATGAAACAAGAGCCACTATTGAAATTACTAAAAGCTTACTCAGGCGCATCTAAGGTTGACTTCAGAGCCTAAAAGGTCCATAATCATAGGCTATCTATTATTGCTATTTCCACAACGTGCTCAAGCCACGGCTGCGACGATCCAAATCCCGCAATGAATATCGCTCAAAGCAACAAGGCGGGCATGTCTCACTGGTTTTCTACCATTTGCCCCATTTCCGAGCCAAGAATTGCAAAAGGAACTTATGTCCAAGCGTTCCGCATATTTCGCCCAGATCATGATGCATTGTCTCCTTTGAACCTGGTCGTGCCATCAACGCCATGTCTCCACTGCGGTGGAATGAATGGCTGCAACTCTAGTGAGAACTCGGCGTACTCATTCTTCTGAACTGTTGTCCTGATCAGTATACTTTCGGTCCTGGTAAGCGTTTGGTACGAATCTCGTACCTCACTACTTTGCATAACTGAATCACGGTGCGAACTTTACCTGTGCTCTCACTCTCCCTCTCTCGCGGTAGGTTCTTCTTCAGCATAGATCCTGCAGCCTTGGACCAAAAAAGTTGCTCAGGAGACAACATGAAGCATCACAAGGATGTGGAATCGCTGATTTCTCGCCTCGCTTTGATCCTCGCCTGTAACTCTCCATGAATTGCGAAGTTCCTGCATCACAAATTCCCAGTCGTCATCCCTACCCTGTCGTACCCTTATAAAGAACTCGGACCAGTCGAACTTGACCGACGCGGCCACAACTGTTTGCGGTGCTGGAGGACTGCTGTCCCACTTTGAGATCTCCTTGTTCAGTTGAGCACTAGGATCCCATTCATGGATGTTGCACTCCTCCGCCATGTGCACTAGGAAGGATGCTGCAGATTGAAAGGACCGGAAGGGGACCCAAACAGGCGCCATGTTCGGTTGAGTTGAGGCAGATACCAGGAACTTTGTCTGCTGTTGTAGTGCGACTTCGGGCATCCGCGCTGTGTGTGCAGTAGTGAATCTTGAGTGGTTTGAGTCCGTTTTCGGGGTTCCATAGTATTCAGCACGGCTTATGTTTCTTGATGCCTCATTCACGCTGACGGGATCCAGTGTTCTCATGGCGTTGTTCGTGGTGTCACTGATAGAGCTGAATGGCCTAATGGCCCTGGCATCTGCACTTTTGACTCGTGAGGGCGAAGCTTCAAGATCATCGGGGACCCTTCTTTTCCCTAGCTGGTTATTGCTTTCGCCAACCCTGGACGATAGACTTCCTGCCAGTCCATTGGTAACAAGGCTCGAGGAAGACGTCGTTTTGGCAGCCGCATCGCTCGGTGTTTGAGGAGTCTGGATTGTCCTTCCTGTTAGATATCGAGTCACGCAATAAAAAGAGCACATTCATCTCACTGACCATATTAGTTTTGAGTATGCTTCGAGCCTTCTTCTGCAGCAGCATCTCAATCACGCGCACTATCCTACCTCGGCGTCAACGCGACTCAGACAGCGGCAACCAACAAAACAAACTGAATACTCACTCCTTCTTCCTCTCCGGATAGACACATAGAGAAGCCGGATCCTCTCGAGAATCCTTCATAAGGAACCTTTCCCTATTCAACTCCGTACCCCAATACAGCATCCCATACCGGCCCAAAAAGCTCTCAGCACACGACATACGCTCCTGTTTAGATTGCTCCAACATTCCCCACTCAAACCCGAACTGTTCGGTGTGTTCCGTAAGCCGCGAAAGGAACTCCTTGTGATATTGGTCTTTCAAATCGAGAAACAATGTAAAATCGCGGTATCGCATGTTGAGGCGCAGGACACCATCGTCCAGAGCTTCTTCCATGGCATTCTTCTCGGTATGTCCGATGGAAAGAGTTTGCTGGCTTCTTGTTTTAGAGGCCATCTTGTGTAGTGTGATCAGTGATCAATTTAGCTTTCGGGCAGGCGAGATGTGAGTATTGAACGAGAACGAGAGCGTGGGATGCATTCCTGCTCAGGAATAGTGTGGTAAGTTGGCCCTGTTAATAAAGGCCTGAGGTGTTTCAACAAACGTGTGAATGCGAAGTGAGGAGTGTGTTGGTGATTCATGGGTTGGACTGTCTTAGTCGTCGGTCCAGAATCTCAACTCTCTTTGCTATTTCAAAGTATTCACAAGAAGTAATATTTGTAGGCTTGTGTAATTTATGCAGAAAGGGATTGCTATTGCAGCAAGCTATTTAGCATTGCTTTCGGACTATACCTCGTATGTGGAAATGCCACAATGAACGAGTTTCTTCTACTCCATACTGTTCAGAATACCATTGTTAAGCAAGATTAGACTGGGAAGATCAGCTCGTAGCTTTTTGGGACTCAGTATTTTATCAGAATGACTTAGCAGAGCTATGTAACATCATGGGCATCATAATATAGTGGGAAAGCTTAAAAGCAAGGAGAACTTGACCAAGCCGAACAGCTTAATCTGTGTACAGGAAGTTTCCTCCAAAGGCTTGTTCAGCGCGAAGTACATGAGCAGATATTGGTCTATGAATCCATTACTCTGCCCCCAGATATTTCAGAGAGTTTCTAAGTTCTTTGATCGCCGTATCAACGTCATCAAATGTCAGTGCGGACACAGCCCAACGGGCATGCTTTTGGGCTAGAGCAATGGCTTGGTCATCGATCCCCTGTGAATTGCTTTGACTTGAGGCCGAGACTGTGGGTACAGCCGCTGGTGCTGGTTGCTGAACCGGGCGCGAGACTACTGGTACCGGTGCTGTATGGGGTTGTACAGGTGGTGAAGGAGCCCACGCGCTTGGATTGGGTTGATTATAGAAATAGCTGGGTTGGTTGAATGTAGCTGGAGGACTTGAAGGAAGGTTGGAAGGAGGAGGGAAGGAATGGAACGAGTTGGGATCACCGGGGTGATGAGCGCCCAGGCTCGCAGGTGTGTCTGGGAGATTCGGGATTGACGAAGAAGGGCCAATAGTCGCTGGGGCTGAAGGAAGATCTAAGGTCGAGCCTTGCTCCGCAGCAGGACCTGTTTCTGGAGTCTGTGTCCGTGGAGCGCTTGTTGGAACATCGGGTATGGTAAACGCATCCCCTGTACGCTGCGGCCGAGTAGCTGATGAAGATCTCGACGGGTGCAACGATTCGTCCATTGATGACTGCTGTGCCATAGCTCTTTCGGCACGCTCAGATTCATCAGGGACCTCCTCCACAGTTGGTTGCTGCCCCTGCGAGGCAAGATCTGCGGCAGCCTGTGCCTCAAGATCATCCTCGGTTACTGTCAGCCCTTCTGCCTGGTCGCCTTCCTTGGTGACCGGGTTTGTTGCGTTAGGATCCTCTCCGGCCTTGATCGCCTTCACAATTCTCAGCGCATGATACTTGGCAAACTTGATTTTCGCAGCAATTTCGGGTTCGAGGGGATTCCAAATTTGACATAATTCAAGAAACGTAGCGGCAGCCTGGAACGTGTCTGCCGTTTGCCTGCAACCCGTCAATCACAATCCAACCTGAGGTCTGTCCATGACTACTCACTTGGTCACTTTGTTGGCCTTCATAGTCGTATCCGCCCGGTTAAAGACCTCCAAGCCGAACTGCTCCACGTAGGCATTCGCCGCGACTGCATCGATCACTGTATCATTATCCGAGTTCTCATTTCTGAACTTTGTACCATTCCATGTCAACATTCAGGTACACTGTGAAATCGCTCCAGGGGGTCCCATCGCTCGACGTACTCGTTCCAGCTTCTCCATCAGATCCATCGCGTATTGTTCGACTTCATGGTCCGATTTGTGTAATCCTCTCTCGATTATTTGGTTGGCTATCCAGTAGTTACCTACATTCGGAGAAGAGCATGTGTCAGCGTTGGTGTCTCGAGGGTACAATCGCACAGCACTCACACCAGTAGGCAACGACGGGCTTCACCCGCTCAATTTGGGCCGCTCTCACCGCGAAACGCCCAATGTCCGCAGACTTGAGACTAGCAGGAATATTGCTCGTCATGGATATGAATAGATTACAACAACGGCTGTATGTGTATGGCGAAATCGGGGATTGTTGGGGTGGAGGAGCGGGACGCATGAATAAAGCGGGGATGACGTTGAAGCTCCAATTTTAATGTTGTCGGGCACCGCCGAGCCTGGTGGAATTGAAGTACAACTATGGACTTAATGGACTGCAGAGACATGCATTATACACTGCATGCTTATTTACGATTTTTCAATCTACACTTGAAGAGAATGATACAATTTTTCATGTCAAGTAAAGAATCTTCAAACATTATTCTCATGTCTCGTTACTTGTGCTGTCGCCCGGCATTACGCAAGAGGTCTCAGGGTCATCGACAACTCCGCAGATCCGAGGTAGAATATATTGCCAAATCAAGTTTTAAGCATCTTCGACAAACCATTCACCGATCTCAACCCGCTCTTCCGCCAAGGCTTCAACTTCAAAGTGATCTTCTACCTGACCTCCAGGACCTCCAATCCTCTCAAGGACAATCCACACACCACGGCTATCTCCAAGACATGGATGCAGGTCGAAGTCTTCAATACGTACGCCAGATATTGCATCGCTATGATCTCCGTCTTCTGAAGTCGCCAGAGTCTCCTTGTAAGGACCTTGGCCCAGTTCGACTGTCATCAGCACTGGTGAAGGGCCAACGGGATGACCGCCGATCGTAGAACGGCGACTGCGAGCAATAAGCTTGATTCGGGTAAGTCGCGGGACGTGCAAAGGCGCCAGCATCCTGTCTCTTCCTGGTGGCAAGACACCGACATCTGATAACACTGCTCGCCGTCCTGCTGCTTCGGATGAAAGGGGCTTCACCTCGCATGGAACCATAGATGAGACCCAAAGTGCGAATCGGCCAACTTGGTCCGGAGCGAATGTGGAACAAACAATTGTGTACACTCCCTTATCCAGGTGTCTCTTTTCAGCAAGAGCCGCTCCACGACGATAGTCGCCGCTATCAGTGATAATGTCGCGGTTGCGAACTCTAGTCACGCGCTTTCCGTTCGAAAAGAACAACTTCGCATGTATTGCAAGTTCGGTGTCGGACGATTCCAACAAAATGGAAACATCAGTGGCATTCGAGAGCGTTAATGCGAACTGCGGATTCGTGGGGTACCGAGCTGATTCTGCATTGCCGCCTGCCGTGGAAGGCATCCAGGAACCCTGGACCTTACTCACACACATAAATTTATTCTGTGATGGCGCAATATGCACCGGCGAGATCGAGAGAGCGGATAGTGTGAAATTTTGACTCAAAGTAGGCAGCGATTCCTCGGAGACAACTGCCGTATAAGTGGTTCCCGGCGGCATCTCCAGCCTCATTAGCGTGTTGGGCGAGTCCACGTAGGGACCCCGATGAAGCGCACCATCACTTAGACTGACACGCTTACCATCTGCATTAAATATGTAAAGGCTAATAAACCCGGCTTGAGAGTCCTCAGATGAAGAATAGCCGGATAGATCAATGGTTCTGAAATGCTTGCCGAGGAGCAGCCAGACAGTACCTCCCATTTCGGAGGTTACTGCAAACTGGGGATTCTTCACGAAGCAGCCCGGAACACCCTTCCCAGCTGCGAGGTCCCATGTAAAATGTATATCTTGGCGGTATTTGAACAGGCTGGGATTCCAATTCAGATAAAGGTTTTCAAAGTTCTGGAAGACCATCTCGCTGTCCATCCAAAACGTCCCAGGAGAGAGTGACGATCGGTCGTGCGGCACGTTTGACTCAAGGGCATTCTCCGTCCTTCCACTAGCCGTGTCGACTCCAGCCCACGGGTTCTTCACTAACATTTGCCGACGGCCCTTGAACTCTTTCATATCAAGAATCGCATAATCATGCTCACTAACCAAGCCCAGTTCTTCCTCTTCTTTTTCAGTTAGCTTCCCAGTCCCAATAGTCAGCAAGACATCGCCATATTGAAACGATCTAAAGAGACGCCTCCATATTTGATCGCTAGTCACATCCTCATGATGTAGGAAGACTTGTTCAGGTATCCAACCCGTCAGTACCCACAGGTCTGTTCCAGAATTGCTCCCGGGAAAGTCATAGCCCCCTCTTAGCTTTAGGTACGCCTTTTCCACAAGCGCAGGCCACAGAAAATTGGGGTTATTTCTATCAACAACATAAAGTGACCTTGAGGTCTTCGACGATGGCAAGCGGTCATCGATGACCACCTTCCTGAAGCATCCGTTGAAATAAAAACGAAGAATGTATCGCCCTGAAGGCGAAGGCTTGGGGTGACCTGTGTCATACTCGCAGGGATAAATCACAGGTAGATAGCGCTACTTTCATGTCAGAGCCTGACACGATCATCAGCAGTCGGAGTGGATTACCTTGTCAAGGCCACGTTCCGATCGGGAGGTTGTAGCGCAGAGACTGGCGACAACAGAGCAGTCTGTCAAGACGTCTTGTACAAGATCAGTCTTCTCTGGTACGGACAGCACGGACGTATCGCCGCCGACATGCGCCAACAGCTCTGAAGGCCGCTTCCACCCATCAAATATGGCCTTCTGTTTGTCAGAAAGATGGAGGTCAGGCTTGTCACTACGTTGTGTTAGCAGTCACTTAGACAATACATGTAGTAAACACTGCATGAACGTACATAAATAGTTGCCCTCCCTCACTAGGTTCGAATTCTTCTAGACTCGGAGGCCCTGCCCATGGCGGAAAGATAAAGCCATTCAGCTTGGCCCCTTCAAGCAAGATTATTTCTTCACGAGTTGTGAGCGTGCGCGTAGACACTGGTGTCTGTAGTTCCGCTGCATGTCGCTCATGGACCCGGATTGCGGATCGCCAATCCTTGGCTTCTTTGATTTTCTCTGCTCTGGAGAGCCATTCCTTGCATTTCGCATCTAACGACTGCTTGTCGTTAGTGGTGGCTGCCAGAGACAAAGCTTTCATATAATGCTCAGCGGCATCAATGGCAGCCTCCAGKGCTTGCCTCTGAGAAGTAGCTGCAGATACATCTCGTTCAGCTTTCTAATCACTGGTTAGTCGCGGGCTGCTTGCTGGTTAAGCCGAAAGAGTGGAAACTATCTACCAGAGCATGAGCAATTAAAGTCTTTTGCGAAGAGGCGTGGGGTCTAGACATCCTGCCCCACGAGGGGTGACAATCGTTTGGTGCGCGTTTGTATTGGTGTAGCCAGATCTACTACGCGTCACAGCCTGTCAAGCTTGCAACGAGCATCCGCAAGACATTAGGGCAGAGATCCGCTAACAAAAGCCACCTATCAGGGTGCGGAGTGATACAAGTGGTTGACACTGCTTGTGACCGATCCGAGGGGTCCCAGGCAAATCTCCGAACGTGACATCCGAGGTCAACACCGTCCCGCGATGTGCTGTATGACGGGTTCCGATTAGTTATTTGATAACAGGTGGAATCAGAATAGTAGAATGCGATGACCTTGCCGATCCCGAGAGGAGGTCTTGCCAGCTAATGTTTGAATGCTAATTTGCTCCTTCAATCGAATGTATGACGTCGGTAGTAATGATGGTGTCGAAGCATGTCACCTTGAAGCTGTGTACCAGCCTACCAGGTCAATAATACGGAGTACCTCTCCAGAGGTAGGCAGATGGCGTATGGTTCGGCGGGGAGGATCGGGAATGCGGCGGGCGGTGAAGGCGGCAGACACAGACCGCAGCGGATACCGGACACTCACGCTGAACACTGCAATGCAACAGAGATACCTCGGCTCTTTTCGTCATGCGCGGTCCACCGAGGTGCTGGACACTTCCGTACTACTACTGTACAGTTAGCACGGGGCAGTTGATACCTGCTTGTTTCTTCTCTACAATACAATCTTGTTGCATTTTCTTTTTACAGTTGGACTGATATGCGTCCAATGTGTTTGCTTCCATTTGCTTACTGAAGGATAACGGTGTTGCGAGTAATTGTCGCCTTCCCACTCCACCCAGAATACTCTATCTCTCTTTGCCAATTATTACTTCGCCCAGCCTGTGACTGAATACCGGATTGAATAGACCTAGTCTTTTGATATTGTTTCTTTCCTTCTTCCCTTAACCTGTCTTGAAGAATCAAATACCGAGGTACCAACTAGCTCGTCGCGGACAATGACAGGCCAATCCAAAGCCATGCGTCTTTCCCCCTGGGGAAGTGCTGTTGCCGGCGCAACTGGTGCAGTTCTCGCGAATGCGATCGTATATCCCCTAGATATGTACGTTGTTTCTCTTATAGTTGCAGAATCCGAAGGTGACGAAGCTAACACAAAAATGATTGGATGGACAGAGTCAAGACGAGACTGCAGGTGCAGGTGAAGAGCGATACGACGGACGGATCGGATGGAACGGTGCACTATGAATCGACTTTGGATGCCATCAACAAGATTGTGGAGAATGAGGGAATTGAGGGTCTATATTCTGGAATGGTTGGGTCCTTGATTGGTGTTGCATCCACCAATTTCGCCTACTTCTACTGGTACAGCGTCGTTCGCTCCCTCTATATGGCATCTGAACGGGTGCAGAAGCCCCCTGGTACCGCTGTCGAGCTGGGTCTGGGTGCCGTCGCGGGTGCTGTCGCTCAGATCTTTACTATTCCGGTCGCAGTCATTACAACAAGACAACAAACACAACCAAAGGGGGAGAAGAAAGGCCTGATCGAGACGGGTAAGGAGGTTATCAACAGCGAGGATGGCTGGACTGGTCTGTGGAGAGGTCTCAAGGCCAGTCTGATTCTTGTCGTCAACCCGGCAATCACATACGGGGCCTATCAGCGCCTGAAGGACATAATTTTCCCGGGGAAGAACAGTCTCAAACCTTGGGAAGCTTTCCGTAAGTTGCAGACATCATTCGACTGCGGTCGCCGCTTCAAGACTAACTGTTATTGCAGTTCTTGGTGCACTTTCAAAGTCTCTTGCCACCATTGCAACTCAGCCACTGATCGTTGCGAAAGTTGGTCTTCAGTCTAGACCCCCACCAGGTCGCGAAGGGAAGCCCTTCAAGACCTTTGGCGAAGTCATGCGTTATATCACTG